GTACAATCTACTAAGGTATAATTATACCGACCATTCCTTACTACACCGTAAGTGATTTCAGATACATTTCAAATCACTTACGTTAATTTATATATTATATTTTACCATTCGTATAAATTATATGTGCAGGATGAACACACGTCTCAATTTTCTCTTGTTTTTAGACATCAAAAATATAAATAGGATCCCTNATAATTTTTCTAAAAGTTTGCATAAGTGCTCATAGGCAAATTTTTGTATATTCGATTTTAAAATTAGAGTAAAGGTTTCGGTATTTAACATTTATAGTGTTATATAAATTTTCTCTTTTTATTTTCAGGGCAACATCTGATGGACGAGCGGGATTCGTGAATCCAAAGAATTTGGATAATTTTAAATTTCGGGGCAAGAAAAAAGGCCTATTGAAGCAGGATGACCCCGCAAATATTAAATTTGGAACGTCCATATTAAAAAATCACATTAATCCTGCATACAAACAAGCAATAGATAAGATTCGGCCATTTTACGAGATTTCGCGCGATCGCTTTAACAGGTAAATTATATTACTGTTTATATGAAATATAGTTATAAAATATGTTAATAAGTGCTTCTTGTTTTTCATTATTTATATTATACATTTATCCACCTTAGACATTTTTGTGTCATTATAACATGTTTAAATTGGAAGTCCACTTGGGCTTGTTATAATGAGGAAAACGAAACACATTATTTTCAATTAAAATATATTCATTGTGACATAATCTTACCTGCTATTATACTCCAATGGAAAATTTCTGGTCAACGATATAAAAAAATTTAAATAGGATCTCTTAATATTAGTTATTAGCAGATGCTACTTTTTTATGCTTAGATTTTAATATACCCATAGAGCTGCAGAGTGAGATGTGTTTGGTGGATAATTGCTCAGTAAGATGAAGAGTTGGTAATTCGTTTAACGAATAAGTGATGTTGTAATAAACAGGTAAACATTTAGAAAAAGTTTTGCTGGGAAAGTTAAAAAATGGCATTTTAAAGGTCTATTCCGAAAAGGTTGAAAGATAGATATGTATTCAACTATGAAAATAAAGATAATAATACCTGATGAGGAGGAACGTTGACCCGAAATGCTCGATCTATTCTGTAATGTTCGTATAAAATCTTTCATGTTCATTACAGTATAGACAGTAAATATACTTTAATTCAAATTGTTTTTTTTTATTATCCGAAATCCTAGTACACAAAAAATAACCACGGTGGATAAAAGTATAATACAATTATACAGTATTATAATAAAGTACGGAATTAGCCGCTAAAGGACGAGGACGTTCTCCGAGAATATAGTTGATTTATATTAATATTAAAGTACAATCTACTAAGGTATAATTATACCGACCATTCCTTACTACACCGTAAGTGATTTCAGATACATTTCAAATCACTTACGTTAATTTATATATTATATTTTACCATTCGTATAAATTATATGTGCAGGATGAACACACGTCTCAATTTTCTCTTGTTTTTAGACATCAAAAATATAAATAGGATCCCTTAATATTACTTGTAATTCAATGCGACAAATTTATAGTCACTACATTATTTATACTTTTTCGGCTCTGTTGTATATAATAGAGGGAAAGTATGGCGATCGGTGTAAAAATGATTCCAAAGACTTTTACATATCGTGAATGTTATAAGAGCCTGGGGATCTTGAAACGTCCAGAAATTCAACAATAATCGCGGCTTTTTATGTATGTATAGATGGATGTGTGTGTGTGTGTGTGTATTTGAAGGCACGATTTTGTTCATCTTTTTTGAAGCGTAATAACTCCTGTGCTTTTTNTCGGCTTACTGTTATTTTTGTTTCAATTCGTACAATATTTCGGCTTTCAGAAAAAAAAATAAAAAAAGCTTAAGTAGGCATAAGAAATGAAAGACAGTACTAAGGACATAAAACTATCTGCACCATAATACTGAAACTTTTTGTGTAAGGCAGAATTCCCAAATTTTGAAATTCGGAAAAAAAATTAAATAAAAAGAAACATAATTCCATATTATGTATATTCTGCGATTATTTTAAATCAATAATTCATCAGTTCGCAATTACATATAGATTTCGACCAGTTGCGCATTCTATGAAATAACCGAATTTCAGTAATTCCTCGATAGCTCATGCATGAACAACCGCAGCTCATGTTTATTTTTGAGACTTTTTCACCTGTCAAATATTGACACAGAGTTCAGTGCTGATCAATTTTGGAAGTGAAAGGTCGAAAAAATGGAGGGAATCAGGAGGTTGTCAGAATCTACAGTAGAGTCTGACTTAATAACAATAGCATTTACAATTTTTACATAACCCATCTTCAACCTAAAATAAAGCATTTTGCAATTCTATAATATATAAAAATATAAAAATTTTCAAAGAACATATTATATCAGGTTGCGCTACCAAATGTTACAGGAAAAGTTAAGTAACGCGTTGCTGCATTTCCAACATAAATATTAACCGCTACGCACCCTAAAACACAGTACAGTACTGCGATTCAAGATAACAGTTACAATGCTAATAATTTTTGTGCGAGTTTTTTAAAATTTCTTTTATATTAAATTTAATAAATTATATACGAAATACTGAGATTATTGTTTGGTGTATGAACTTGTTTCTTGTCACACCTATCTGAGATTCAAACGCTAAAGGTACTTATGTCCGTTCCGCTTTTAACGTTATTGAGTCATGTAAAAGTATATGAAGAACAAGATTTTTTACTACTTCTAACTCATTTCATGAAAAACGAGTTTTCTTTAATTTTTAAAATAAATTAAGACATTTTTTCCCTTCTTCCAAGACATTCATAACAATTTCTCAAATAATTTTAATTGCTTCNTGTTTTAAAATGTCCAATGAAGTCGTAAAAAACAGTTTTATAAGTAAAAAGCAAATCACGTTTAATATTAATTTTTTTTTTATCCATTTCAAATGATATGATAAATTTTAATATAGTTCAAGATGTTAAGGTTGCTTTTAGAGCAAGAGAGGTATTAATTGTAACCTATCGACCAGCATATAAATTGCGCCACAATGAAATGAAAATCATTTTTTCATCTGCTATTGATATGTATGGGCATGATTTTTGTCTAGAAAATCTTTAGAAATTTATTCTCATATACGTCTATATTTGAGGTGTTGAAAAATTTCTTTTAACATTTAAATATAATAATGAAAAGAGCTAATTTAGAAATTTATGTGAAAAAATCAAATATTTTGTGTGCTTTAACAGGTCTTCAGCACCTCTGACTCAGAACAGATTGTAATCACATATTTTTGAATTTTGTACAAAAAGTTACCATGGATTATGCCAAAATTGCAGAGAAGAAATCAGCACTGGTTATGAGATATGAACTAAGAGTGTGAAAACTTAAGGTTTGCAAGCAGATATAAAAATTACTATTAGGTTAACTTATAGGAAAAAATATATACCCATAAGACCTGCCCTGGCAAATAAAAGCAAGAACTATTTAGACATAAATTTGTAGAATAAACATGCTGATTCGGACATGCGAAATATTAAATTTCAAACTTGAAAAAAAAAAAACGGATTGCTGAATTATTTACCTGTATCGACACCATACATAACCAGACATTTTTTCTATTCATTTGAATTTCATTGTAATTGTGTTAATTTAAATAGTATTTATTTCATGTCCTTTCGTTGTTTATTTGTTCCAAGTTTTAAAATTTCGAATGAAATTGCAATAAGAAATTTTGTAAAAGTAGCAGGAGAATCGTGTTTAGTTTTAATTTTTTTAATCATTTGAATTTCTTTCTGTCTTTTAATTTGCATTGTTTTTAATTGTAATTTAATTGTAATTCATAATTGTAATATAATTTATTGTAATTGTATTTATAGTAATTTTCGTTGTTGTTATTTTATATTTCTTTGTTTATTATGTTACATTTTTTCGTTGTTTAAATATTTTAAAATGCTAATAAAAATTATAAAAGTTTTAAAATGCTAAAAAAATTTTAAAAGTTTTAAAATGCTAAAAAAAATTATAAAAGTTTTAAAATGCTAAAAAAAANTTTGATATTAATGTAATTAAACGTAAAAAATACTTAAAACTGGAAAAAAACGAAAGAAATGCGTTAATTTTGAAGAAAAATCTTCAAAGTTTATTGTCCTTTCTCTTGTCTTTCTGTAAAATTTGACACTGAAGAGTCATTGTTTACACAGCTGGATGACCTTGAAAACAGCTGGAGTAAAATTTCCCGAAACATTCTCATAGACATCTCAGGAGGACAAGGGTTTAAAGTAGGATGAATACTAGCTACACCTATATTTTAGAATATTTTTAAAAAATTAAAATTTTTATTGCGATTTCCGACCCCCAGACTTAATTAAACTTATATATAATAAAATATATTAATTAAAAAAATTAAAAAACTATCGGAGGTCGTTTTTGACATCAGAAACTGGCTTTAAATAACTTTACCAAAGTCAAATTTGTGCACTACAACTTTAGAACGATTAATTAATTTGATAAAAAAATCGCATTAAAAACAATTAAACGTTAACCGCGCATCATTAAAGGTTTATTAAAATCGCGATAAATTTTTTTTGCGCGGGTCCAAATTTTTGAAAAAGTTTGGAGACTTAAAAAACATTCCAAAAAAAAAAAAAATATATTCAGAAGTGGCCTTAAGGACTTAGTTTTTCGTAACGCTATGTAAAATTGACAAGTTATCTTGTCAATGAAAATGAAAGTGTTTTAAAGAAAATAATAAGACATAAATCAAAAATATAAACTTTTCATTTGTACTCTATTTCGTAAATCTTCGAACTGCCCAGAAATGATAAAAATATCATTGTTTTTATTATTTACATTAAACGATGTATGAGGTAATAATATGTAAAAAAATTAACGAAGTGTACAAATATAAGTAATGATATATGAAAATTAAAAAGTTTACATCTAAATAGTCAGTACTTTTTAACGATATAAAACTAAGTACTTACATTTTATTAAATTCTTTTTCAAATTTAAATTGTTTTTTCATAGGAAATACTAATGAATAAGTTGAAAACGATTCCTCTGAAATTACTAATACTTCTTTCTCTTTAATCGTTAATGAGTTTAACATACCTTCAGGTATAATTTGTGCGTGTTTATGTTTTAGTGTATATTTAATTCCTTCGTTCATGGTAGGAAATCTTTTATCTGGATTATTTCTTATGTAATCACCTAAAATACTGACCATACCTTTGGGCGCATCCTAGAATGAAAAATAAAACATTATAAACATGTATTATTAACTTGTATTAATTTTTCTTCAGAAAAACTTTCTTGGCACTTTCTCACTGCATTGTTATATTGTTATAATTACCTTAAATTTGTTATCGACACGATCGCACTTACTTATGACAATCAACATATGTAAACTTTCAAATACAAAATGTAAAGTAAAAATATATTGAAGTAATTTACCATTATCATTTTTTCATAAGCCGAATATGACAGAGTTCCACAAGAATATTCATGAATTTTAACTGCATTTGAGAGTTCTTCAATTGTTCTCGGAACCTTTTCATAAGCGGGATAAGCCATGTAGGAAAAGAGGACACCACTGTATGCTGATATAAGTACGGTTGTCACCAGTAGCCAAACTCCAATAATAATTTTCGAAGAAGTGCTTTTATCTTGATTTATTTCACTTCCTACAAGAAATTGTAAAAATTGCATAAAATATGTCATAAAAGATATGATAGGTGCAGCAATGCACCTTTTTTTCATCTTCTGTTATTTTCTATAATTTCGGCATCACGTATTCGTTGTAAAATTGTATCAGTTAACATAAAATAAGTTTTAACTCTAGAGAATAACACATACTTTAGTTTTTAAAAAGAATTTAAGTTTAGTATTATTCAATTACTTAAGACATCAGGTGTGGAATATGTATGATATTTTAAGAATATAAGCATTGCTTATATTCCTAAAATACAATTGCTTATATAATTTTGATGTTTCTGCACGTAATTGGAAACAGTACAGATGATAACCTGCCACTACAAATCTATGAAACAATTCACTAACATGTTCCTATTAACAGTTCTCTTACCATCACTTTAATTCTCTGATTATAATTAGTTTTTTTTCCATTATTTTACTCGCTACAATTAATTTTACAAAGCAAAATTCAACAGACCTTTTTACAAATTACGTTAAAATTTTTAATAAATTAATATGAATGTAAAAATGGTATTAGACTTACACTATTTTATAGTTATTTACATACTTGTAATATATTTTTATATAATAAAAGTTGTTTGTTGAATTAATGTATATGTATTTGCTTGCCTTGACGGGTTAAACTGCAAATAAGAAACCAACAAATTTTTTTTATGGTCCACCAAGTCGTTTTGTGGAGAAAATAAACGTTTCCTTTAACAATACAGTAAAACGCAATTGCAGTAACAAATGATGAAGCAAAAACACAGATCCACACCTGCAAAATATACAATGAAATATATTAGTATGAATAAGCACATTTAATGTGACATAATCACAATGCTTTTTATATTATTAATTTATTTAATTTAAAATTTATGTTTACCACCTTAAATTAGCAGTGTTTGCCGCTGTATATCGAGCTTATCTTTAAAAAAAATTGTATTTAAGTAATGTAACTTTCAGTACAAACTGGGTGGTTTTATATGCTTATTGGAGATAGCAGTATGTAAACATAATATATATAATAGCTTGAATTGTAAATATAAATCCGATTGCTCATTAATTTAATATTGTAAATTTTTTAGAAATGTTTGTATTAGTGGAAAAAGTCTAACATTGGCTATTTTGTTGTAAATTTTATTCTTCGTAGACGATATGAAGGTTTTTGTTAACAAAAACTTCGTAGAATCAGCCGGAATTACAATAGGAATGTGGGTAGAGAATGACGAGTCCAGATATTTTCGAAATAATGAACCAACAAGAACATCCCCAATCATACGAATTTTTTTTTTATTTCATGCAAAGATATTTTATTTTAAAAAACGTAATTTTTCAAAAGTAAATAATATAACAAGTTTACTCACTTGAAATGAAAATGGCCTGATTATTGTCGTTATTTTTGACAGTTGTTCAGGTCCAGAAACAATAAATAAAACTTTACTAATAGCAACAGGAGTTGTAAATTTCAATGCTTCAAGTCTGTCGTAAGTCGCATATACCAATTTTGCACAAATATCAGCTTCCTTTCAAATATAAATAAAATATTGTAGACGATTATAATTATTTCGCAAATTTAATTGAACTGTTATTGTTATTCATACTTCTCTTTGTATTCTTCCAATGACACCATTCCAGGTGCCGTTGTCTAATTTAATCCCAAATACTTTTTCAACAGGTTCAATAATTTCATATCTATGTAAAATATCTTATAAAAATTGTATATTAGAATGCATTTTTATGTATAAATAAAATTAATTTACTTACTGAACATTTTTCAAATTTTGAATGACTAAACTCAGAAATTGAAAGTCGAAACCATCAAAGACTACAGTGTTATTAATTTTCTTCACTTTTAAATAAGATAAAAACTAAACATATTAAAAAATGAAAATTAAAAATATTATGTAACAACATATATGAAAATTAAAAAATAAACTTACAGGTACTCCAGTGATTTTTATTTTATTCAATCTTCTACTGAGTGTATTTTCCATGATTTGTTCTGTTAGAAATGATACAATTTAAATGCTTATCTTGTTATATATTTGCATATATTTTTGTTAATTAAATACGTTATGTGTAAAATATATAGCAAGAAGTTTAGTAATTATTAAGCAAAAAATTTAAAATTTTGGTGATGCCATAAATTATGATATACAGTCGACCCCCTATAATTACGATTCCTATAAAACTACGAAAAAATTGTGACCGGTATCCGTAAAAAACAGTAAAATTTTCCTATAATTACCTCAAACATCATCGGGCAGCCGAACTACTTTCCTGCCGTCCGTAGCGCCAACTACAGAGATATTTCTATCGTCTGGACAGTATTATATAAATTATATATAAATTAGTTACTGTACATATAATTATATATTAATTATATATAAATTACGTACTGTATATATAATTATATATTAACTTATTGTAACTTTGTTATAATTAAATATATAATTTCCGCCGTCTAGCGTGGCGCTACGCTACGGAGATTTTTACGCTAACTATCGTCTGTCAGTATGTAAATTAGGTACCGTAAGTCTAATACAGTACTGTAATTTTATACATTTCTTGTGAAAGAAACATTTCTTATTCAACGGCGATTAAAATTATTTATATTAATGATGTCTCCAAAGTTCAACGAAGTTTTCGCAGAAAAATAAGTTATTAGAAATCGGCCGATGTTTGCTGAGCTGTTTCGCGACGAAAACAAGCTTTAGCAATGGCGATGTCGAATGTTGCATACTCGGTAAGTAATCCTACAATTTTTTGTGTATAGCGTAGTTTATACGGATTATTTCCAAAAAAAATATATGTATTTTGAAAATGTTGAGTCGGACTAGTCTAGAACCGATTAATACTATGGAAGAAAACCTTTTAATCAGCCGTAGTCCGTAAACTTCACACGTGTCGGGCTGTGATTGGAAAGACTCGTAAGAAATCGGATTCCTAAAGAATGGAACGTATCTATGATCTTATAGGGAAGTCGACTGTATATTAAAATTTGGTGTGTTAAACGCATTAGATTTGTTTCAATTTACTTACTTTTCTGTACAAATATAGCAAAATTTGGAGGAAGTTAAGACAGAATAAATTAATAATCTTCGATGTTGATGTAGAGAGCATGNAAAAAATAAATATTACAGTATATTGTTTTATGCAAAATACTTACAGATAATGTTTATTATCTAAATTATAGTGTCATCTGCTCAAGAATACGAGAAAAACGTTATTAGTACAGTTGTCCTAATTTGTTCACTGATTTGCTTACATAGAGAAAATTTCTTGAAAAAATTGTAATTTTTTCAAGGACGTTTTACAACAAAGAAACGAATGATCTATACGAAAAGAGATCACCAATATAGTGGAGCTCATTTTTGTGGAATAAAATTTATCTCAAAGAAATGGATCAACATAATTCTTAATAATCCTAATTAGGTTCATTCATATAACACTAGTGTAACCGTGGTCTAAGAGTTTGGTATTACAGTAGACCCCCCTATAAGTACGGTCTCTATAATTACGATTCCTATAAAACTGCGAAAAAATTGCAACGGTATCTGTAAAAAAAGGTAAAAAAAACTTTTATAATTACGTAAAACGTCATCGGGCAGCCGAACTATTTTCTGCTCTCTAGCGCCATGCTACGAAGAGATTTCTATCGTCTGGACAGTATTATATATANTTTACTTACTTTTCTGTACAAATATAGCAAAATTTGGAGGAAGTTAAGACAGAATAAATTAATAATCTTCGATGTTGATGTAGAGAGCGTGCAGTAAACTATTCACACTCCAAGCAGCATGTCTCTAGACATTTTTGACAGACACTGTGATTATTAACCGCTTCTTGTCCACTTTTTTTAAAAAAAATTTAATTAAGCATAAAACATACTTAAAACTGAAAAAAAACAAAAGAAAAACGTTAATTTTGGTTAAAAAGCTTCATCATTTAGTTTCCTCTGTCTCACCTTTCTGTGAAATTTAACACTGATGAGTCATTGTTTAGGCAACTGAATGACCTTGAGAACAGCTGGTGTCGTATTTCCTGGGACATTCTCATAGACGTCTCGGGAGGAGAAGGTTATAAAGTAGAGTGACTAGAAATTAAACCTATATTTTTAAATAGTTTTAAAAAATTGTAANCATCGGCGGACGTCTTATAGAGCTGGTAAATGCTGATTGGTGGAATCCAATGCTGTTTCAATCCTATAAAAGCATTGAAGTTCTGGCGGGAAGTTCAGTTGGCTTCGGACATAGGAAGTGAACTCACGCTGACCTTAGTTCGCCTAAGCTGTTTTAGAAGATTGCCTTATCTTGTTGTATTATTGTGGATTTTGAATTTGTACGTCGCAAGGTGCTTTTCCGACGGACCTGTTGCAGTGGATAATTACCTTGAACTTTGTTAATATCTAATGTTTGTAATTCCTATATGTGAACTTTAATTGTAACTGTACATACGTTTATTTTCAATATACATTAAGTTTTAAAATTTAACTGGCTGTGAAGTGTTTTTGAACTTGACTACTTAATTTATTGTAACTTTATTATAATTATATATTTTTTTTCCGCCGCGTAGCGCCCTGCTACGGAGATTTAACGCTAACTATCGTCTGTAATTAGGTACCGTAAGTCTAATACAGTACTGTAATTTTATACATTTCTTGTGAAAGAAACATTTCTTATTCAACGGCGATTAAAATTATTNAATAAGATAAAAACTAAACATATTAAAAAATGAAAATTAAAAATATTATGTAACAACATATATGAAAATTAAAAAATAAACTTACAGGTACTCCAGTGATTTTTATTTTATTCAATCTTCTACTGAGTGTATTTTCCATGATTTGTTCTGTTAGAAATGATACAATTTAAATGCTTATCTTGTTATATATTTGCATATATTTTTGTTAATTAAATACGTTATGTGTAAAATATATAGCAAGAAGTTTAGTAATTATTAAGCAAAAAATTTAAAATTTTGGTGATGCCATAAATTATGATATACAGTCGACCCCCTATAATTACGATTCCTATAAAACTACGAAAAAATTGTGACCGGTATCCGTAAAAAACAGTAAAATTTTCCTATAATTACCTCAAACATCATCGGGCAGCCGAACTACTTTCCTGCCGTCCGTAGCGCCAACTACAGAGATATTTCTATCGTCTGGACAGTATTATATAAATTATATATAAATTAGTTACTGTACATATAATTATATATTAATTATATATAAATTACGTACTGTATATATAATTATATATTAACTTATTGTAACTTTGTTATAATTAAATATATAATTTCCGCCGTCTAGCATGGCGCCACGCTACGGAGATTTTACGCTAACTATCGTCTGTACAGTATGTAAATTAGGTACCGTAAGTCTAATACAGTACTGTAATTTTATACATTTCTTGTGAAAGAAACATTTCTTATTCAACGGCGATTAAAATTATTTATATTAATGATGTCTCCAAAGTTCAACGAAGTTTTCGCAGAAAAATAAGTTATTAGAAATCGGCCGATGTTTGCTGAGCTGTTTCGCGACGAAAACAAGCTTTAGCAATGGCGATGTCGAATGTTGCATACTCGGTAAGTAATCCTACAATTTTTTGTGTATAGCGTAGTTTATACGGATTATTTCCAAAAAAAATATATGTATTTTGAAAATGTTGAGTCGGACTAGTCTAGAACCGATTAATACTATGGAAGAAAACCTTTTAATCAGCCGTAGTCCGTAAACTTCACACGTGTCGGGCTGTGATTGGAAAGACTCGTAAGAAATCGGATTCCTAAAGAATGGAACGTATCTATGATCTTATAGGGAAGTCGACTGTATATTAAAATTTGGTGTGTTAAACGCATTAGATTTGTTTCAATTTACTTACTTTTCTGTACAAATATAGCAAAATTTGGAGGAAGTTAAGACAGAATAAATTAATAATCTTCGATGTTGATGTAGAGAGCGTGCAGTAAAGTATTCACACACCAAGCAGCATGCCTGTAGACATTTTTGACAGACACTGTGATTATTAACCGCTTCTTGTCCACTTTTTTTAAAAAAAATTTAATTAAGCATAAAACATACTTAAAACTGAAAAAAAACAAAAGAAAAACGTTAATTTTGGTTAAAAAGCTTCATCATTTAGTTTCCTCTGTCTCACCTTTCTGTGAAATTTAACACTGATGAGTCATTGTTTAGGCAACTGAATGACCTTGAGAACAGCTGGTGTCGTATTTCCTGGGACATTCTCATAGACGTCTCGGGAGGAGAAGGTTATAAAGTAGAGTGACTAGAAATTAAACCTATATTTTTAAATAGTTTTAAAAAATTGTAATTTTATTGCGATTTCCGACCCCCTAATTAATTAAACATATATATAATAAATCTATTAATTAAAAAACTATCGGAGGTCGTTTTTGATATCAAAAAGCAGCTTTAAATAACTTTATGGAAGGAAAATTGGTGCACTACAACTTTAGAACAATTACTTAATTTTGATAAAAAACTCCCATTAAAAAAACATTAAAAAACAATTAAGCCTTAATCGAGCCTTATCAAAGGCTCATTAAAATCGCGATAACATTTTTCCGCGCGGGCAAAAAAGTTTGAAAATATTTGGGGACCTAAAAAACATTCCAAATATAAAAAAAAAAGAAATGAGGGCCACGACGCCCGGTTTATTTTAACTCTATAAACCTTGCTCGAGCCACCCTCGAGCGTGGGTAGGAAGGTGTTTTAAGCAAATTTTCTGATAACATTTTTATGTTCTCTTAAGAAATAAACATCAGTCGATATATTTCCAGTTAATAAAATTGGACATATTTCACATACAACATTGATTTGATCAAGAGTAGATTTTTTCACTATCGTTCTTCTCTGTGACGATGTAGTCTTTGTAAAAAGTGCCGAAATATCATTATATTTTTATATTATATATTTTATACCAAGCATATTCGGAAATACCAAGTTTATTAGGTAAACTGGAATCTCTCACAAAAAATTCATTATCAAATATAGCATTAAAATCTAATAAGAAATAACGAAATTTTTTTTCTCGTTTTTCTATATGAGTCTACAAAAAAATTAAATTTTTCTGCAGACTTTTAATGACCTGAACCATTTAATTGGCGTTTATCAAGATTATTTTTAAACAAAAACAAGCAATGAGTTTGTAAATTATTTTATAAAACTAACAACTGATAATGAAAAAGATTAACGAATCATATATCTAAAAAATATATATATTAAATTTTATCACTTCTTTACGAGTATTTGTTGGTTTAAACAAAATCTACACCAAATTGCATCAAATCACTATAACCTATGTGTTATAAATTTAATATTTGATATTATTCATTTTTGCATGAATAAATATACAGATAAGTAATAACAAATTAACTACTTCATAAATGGTATCAAGATATGAAGCATATGGAACTTTGAAGCTATTGAATTTCTGTTGATATGTTTTATATTTCCATATGAAAGCAAAACTTTAAATTGGCAGACTATTGTGTATAATTGAATCCCAAAAATAGACAAATGCTTCTGTATTAGAATAAACGCGAATTTTTCTGTATTAAAATAAAGATTTAGGCGAAATGAACGGAAAGTGTTTCAGCAATTTTGTTCAAATTCAACATATATCAGTAATAAGTAAGTATTAAAAAGTTATCATCTTATAAGCCATAATTTAATAGTGTAAAGTTTAGAAATGTTACTGTGTTTATTAAGTTATTTGTAATAATTTAATTAAAAACCACAAAATTAATTTAATTTAATTAATTTTATTTAATTTACAACAAATATTATGTAACTTCTCACATTTGTAAAACAACATGAAATTTTTTTGAAGAATAACTCTTTGAATAGAGTACAGTTAATAAACTGATATTTATAACAGTTTCGAACACAGAAAGCTGTCTGCAATATATAAATATTGATTTTGGATGCTAAAATATTTTCTTTTAAATAATTTATATAAAATCTTAGAGTTAAATATCATTTAGTATCTTTTGTTTCTCTATAAAATAACCCATTATTGGCAAGTAGATTAAACTACTGAACACAAGATGAAAATTTCACTTTAGTAAGACCCAGCCACGTGATGATTATCCAAATTTTATCACGTGTTTAATTTTCAGTAGTTATTTCCTTTTGCTAAATTTGTTGACGTGTGTTTAGCGCAGTTTGAAATTTATAAAAAAAA